AGAGGCCTTGGCCACAGCCCTGGTCAGAGCAGACAGAGCCACAGCAGGAGCTGACCATGGTGTCAGAGGGTGGAGGTTCTGGGTGGGTTTCCAGGAGAGTGAGGTTCTTGAGTTTGGGAGTTTTCTTGGCCCACAGCTCCCTTTATATCCTGCTGAAGAGCTGCTGTCACTGCACCATCATTTCCTCATTATTATTTATGTTAGTAGATAGGCAACTATCAAATTAGTTATTTGTTAGGTAGAATGCATTTTTCCTGTCTCTGTGTTATGGTTCTTCCAATTCAGCCTTTCCTCCTGACTCACCTCTCATCTTCTTTCTTATGTGTATCATCTAATTTCAAAGACTCTGCAGATGCTCCATCAAATTGGTTGCATGTGATACATCACTTGAAACCCAACACTCAATGTGTCAACATTAAAGCTTTGTGTGTTACACCATTCTTCAGTGAGACAGTAGGTTTTGTTTTCTAAAGACTCTTTTGGGGAAAATAAACTGTGAACGTACTAGGAGAACACTTGGAAGAATTTTTCTTAAAACATTTGAAGTGAAGAGGCTTTTCTGAGACAGAAAATTTAATGGCAATAAAGGAAAAGACTAAAAAATTTTACAGCAGAAAAATGTTCATGCTAATTAGTTTTTTAAGCTTGAAACAAAATCAAAAGGCTACCAAAGGGCAAACTGGGAATAAATAACAAATGCCTTAACCAATATAACAGAAAAAGACCTAATTTTTTCTAATGTATGAATACCTCTTATACACCTAATTTTTTAAAAAGGCCAACAGCCAAATAGAAAATTGAGTGAAGGATATTAACAGTCATTTCACTAAAAAAGAAATACAAATACCTTTAAATTTTTAAAAGATGTTCAGTCTCATTTATAATTTTAAAAATTTTAATTGAACAATTTATCTGTTCATCAAACCAACTATGGAACACCTACTGTGTGCTAACTCCCATCCTAGGCTCTGGGGATAGAGCAGTGAATAGTTTGGAATGACAAATATACAATATCTAGTTTTTTTAACTCTAATAAATTGGAGAGATTCTCATATACAGAATGGCAGGAGTCTAAACTGGGGCAAATTCTTTATAAGGTAATTTAACAGTATCAGTAAGATTTGTAAATACGCCTGTCCTTTGACTGAGCAATTTCACTTCCAGAAGCGTATTCAACAGGTAAACATATACAGGTGCCCCAAGACATACACTCAAGATGCTCTTTGCAGCATTGTTTGTAAGAGGCAAAAGTCTGAGACTGAACTGTGTTATGGCTACAGAGGAGAATGTGTTTGATGTCAGGAACACACACCAGCGTTCAGTGACAGAGCATCATGTCATGAAGAACACTGTTTGAACTATTCTTGCAACTTTCCCACAACTTTTAAGTTATTTTAATAAAAAAGGAAATGAAGCACACTTTTAAGGCAAAACAGATCATCCCTCTCCCATACAAACATCAGCTTGCCTTTTAATGAAGCTTTTTTCTTTGTCTTTTTTTCTGAGTGGGAGGTGATTAGGTTTCTTCATCGATTTCAGCTTGGAGGAGGTACCAGGGATTGAACCTGGGAAGTCTTGGGTGCTGAGAATGCACTCTACCACTTGAGCTTCCCCCTCTAGCTTGCCTTTTAGACATTTTTCAGCAAGGAGAAAAGAAAGGAAGGAAGGAAGCAAAGCTGTAAAAAATATGTTTGGTTGTGCTGTTTTTTCAGTTATTGAAGTCTGATTTCATTGCATTTAGGTAGGAGACAAAGGCTTATGTCATTCTGCTGTAAGATTTTCTTTGTACCTAAATGTTTCATGAATATTCTGGATATGTATGAAAATTATGAAAACAGTTTGTCAGGCATAAGATTACTTATAAATATCAATTACATCTAAGTTGATAATGGTCCTACTCACATTTTCTATTTCCTTGTTTATTTTTCTCCTTCAAATGACCACTATCTAAACAATGTGTTAAAATTTCTGCTATGATTGTGGTTTCATCATTTTCCCCTGTATATAACAGTTATTTTGCACTTAGTTTCTATGTACCTCAAAGTGCTTATGACAAGAAAGCTAAAATATTTATGAAGCCATAAATTAATGTATCAGTGAGAAGTCACAATCAAGGTCAAGACAAGGACAGGTATCACAGGATTTTGATCCAAGTGGGCCACAGTTTTGTGGTCATTTGTTTGTTTAGAAATGGTTGGTCTTCTGTCCGAAAGCAGGAAGACAGCAAGGAGATAGCCCAACTCCTTAGAATGACTATAATGTATGTTTTGGTACTTTTAAAAAGGTAATTACATTATTAAAAATATAAACACGCTGCTTTCATCTGAGCCTCTCCTTCGCTTTGTCTTGTCTTACGTGGTTTGTGAACTATACACCTTCCGTTGAATTTCCAGACTTGACACATTTTATTTCCAGGAATCAACCTTTGTATTTTTCCACTGAATGATTTCTCTTTTTCACCAATATTATCAACATGTTCTACCTGACATATGTCTTCCTATTAAATCCAAGATTTCATTATGAGTTACATGGTGATGAGAACGAAGTCTCATTCAACCGACGAGCTTCCCAGCACCCAGCAGTACAAGGACCTTGCTAGGTGGTCCATAGTCCAGTTGTAGTAAAAAGGAAATTCTTGTTTTCTCTCAACAAACTTGATGGCAGGCAAGGTGGGCAATCTGCTTTGGGGGAAAAATCATCATTTGGCCTTTTCTCTCATATAGGCTTTGATTGATAAGCAAAATCAGTTTTCTTTGTTCACATGACAGAAACACAAACGTATCTCCAGTTCATAATCAGCACTAAAAAATAATTAAGAGCCACATGTGTTTCTGATACCAAGTATTTATTGAGATGTAATTATCCTAACACACGTAAGTCATCATGAAGGCCAAGCCATGTGCAGCAATCATAGGATTAGGAGCCTGTCCCTATGAACTAGGGTAGACGTTTGGTCATCTGAT